ATTTCACTTTATTATATACAAATCTCAATCACAACTTTTATTTTTTCAACCACTTTATTAATAATTGTGCCAAACCAAAACAAGATCACACATAAAATGGGATGGAGTTGAGGTAGTATATATTTATTCGATATTTATATAGTATATTTTCTATAGATACAATAGAAATAAGAAAAAAAAACTTTGGATCTAAATAACCAGTCACACAATCATATAATTGCAGCAACTGCCATTTATTTGCATAAACAAAAAATATTATTCAAATACTATTGAAGTTGCAAAGAAAAATATAAAAAAGATGTGGATATTTGGAAGGGAGAGAGCAAGAGACAAAAATAAGCTCAATTATTAAAAATTCCCATATGTAAAGTCTAACAAAACTAATGAAGCATACAAACAGTGGTGTATCCAGAAACTATTTTTAGCGGGGGCGAATTTTGCATTATAAACACAATTTTTTAACATGGGCAATAAATAAAGAGTTTTTATTCAAACAAAAACATTAATACGTAACTTTTCATTTCATCCAAAAACTAGATTCACATTTTTGAGAAGTTTGTATGATTCAAATTTCAATTTATAATAAATATTTAGTCAAACTTGTACTTTAGTGAAATTATATTAATAAAAAATAAATTAAACATGAGTAATGCATGCCATTAGAATAATGTGAATTGCAAATGTACAATATTTTTTTATGTAGGGCAATCAGCAATCGTAATATTAAGAGAAAAGTTTATATTATATAATGTGTAAATAAAAATATGACATATTGCAAAAACTATATCAATTGTTTGTCAAAGTGAAGATTGTGATTGTTTGAAACATTTATAAAAGGTTAAGATATGGCTAACACTACAAAAAATTTCGCCTGTAGTCACGAACTTAGTCACGGACCGTAGTGTAAAAAATCCGTGACTAACACATTTAGTCACGGATTTTGTCCGTGACTAGTGCCGTGACTAATTCCGCGTGACTAGAACGTAGTCACGGAACATTGGCCGTGACTAAGTGTAGTCACGGATTAGTCACGGAACTCGATCCGTGACTACATCTTGACCGGAATTAGCCCTTCGGCGCGTTAGTCACGGACCAGATCCGTGACTAGTTTTAATTTTTTTTTTTATGTTAGTCACGGACAAGAGACGTGACTAAGTTTAATTTAATTTTTTTTATTTTTTGTGGTAGTCACGGACGTGTCCGTGACTAACGTTTTTAAAAAGCCCGCAATTAGTCACGGACATGTATCCGTGACTATGTTTAATTTAAAAAAAATTGAATTTATTCCGGATTAAAACGTAGTCAGGGATCTGATCCGTGACTGATGTCGTGGAGCTATTGGGAGGTAATACAGTTTAGACAATGCCGACCTATTTCGTGATTTCTTTCTACTTTGAGGAACAGGTTTGTATCTGTTTCCACCACAGAACATGCAGAATTCAAGTGCATCATCATCCTTCCAGAACAACATACATCCTTCCGGGCACGCATCAATTTCTATATAAGGTAGCCCCAACTTAGACATTAATTGTTTCATGTGATAATATGAATCCGGAAGGTTATGATCACGTGGTAGTATCCCGCCTACTGACTGCAAGAATCTAGTCATGCAAGTTTCAGGGAGACTGTATTCAGCTTTTATGTTCATAAACTCTGTAACGGCGGATAGCTGAGAGTATCCCTCACAATCAGCATACAAGGGGTTGATCAGCTGCTTTTAAAACATCTTGAAATCTTTCAGCTAAACCTTCATCCACATAAGGTTCATAAAATATCGGATTTTCACCCTCATGTGGTTGATACGAGGTCGAATCTTCAGGAGGATCGTTAGATGGTTGTGGGAGGTTGAACTGAGACATCGATGCACCGTATGCGTCATATACCATACGTTGCTCCCATCTCATTTCAGCAGGGTCTCCCCACGCACTCATCTCTGCAGGGACGTTACGAGACGAACCTACCGTTTGTGGTAAAACAGATGGATCCAAAGGTTCGCCATGAGAAGTCCAATTATAATAATTGGGAAGGAAACCGTCCGCGTACAAATCCCACCCAACTTCGTATGGGTGTTTAAATTTGAGATTTTTACACTTTGAACATGGACATCTGATTTTATCACCACTCATATAAGTCGGGTGTTCAAGTGAGAATTTAATAAACTCCTCAACTCCTTCAAAAAAATTTGATTGCATTCCGTACAATACCGCATGTTTATCATACATCCAAATTCTATTTTGTTTATACTATATGCCTGAATATTATAATAAAAAAATTATATAGGTTAAAAACTCTAAATTATAAACATTACCAACATATGTGGAGTATTATTAATATATTAAATTTCACTAAATTTCACTAAAATTCTCTTTAGATTAACTAATTCCCTAAAATCAACTAATTCCCGGCCTTAAAATTAACTAATTCCCTTAAATTTCACTAAAATTCACTAAAATTCCCTTAAAATTAACTAATTCCCTAAAATTAACTAATTCCCTTAAATTTCACTAAATTTCACTAAAATTTCCTTAAAATTAACTAATTCCCTAAAATTCCCTTAAAATTAACTAATTCCCTTAAAATTAACTAATTTCCTGAAATTTCACTAAATTTCACTAAAATTCCCTCAAAATTAACTAATTCCCTAAAATTCCCTTAAAATTAACCAATTCCCTTAAAATTAACTAGTTTCCTTAAATTTCACTAAAATTTACTAAAATTCACTTAAAATTAACTAATTCCCTAAAATTCCCTTAAAATTAACTAGTTTCCTTAAATTTCACTAAAATTCACTAAAATTCACTTAAAATTAACTAATTCCCTAAAATTCCCTTAAAATTAACTAATTCCCTTAAAATTAACTAATTGCCTAAAATTTCACTAAAATTCACTAAAATTCACTAAAATTCCCTTAAAAATAACTAACGTCTAATAATTAATATTATTAAACTATAAACATGCACAATACGTTAATGGCATTAATTTAATCCACAATACTAAAATTATCAACATCTTAATCTTATTAATAATGCACATTTAACAATTTACTAAATTAAATAATATGAGCAAATCCAATAATTTGAACATATATATATAATAAACACATTTAAATTAAATTAACTAACCCTAATTTAAATCATTATTAATCCTAAATTAGGCCGCCTTAATTAACAATAATTGCCAATATAAAGAAATCATATACTTATATTTAATCATATATATATAAAGTCATTTGAATTAAATAATACTTACATTTAACTAATATTAATAATATGCATTTAAATTATATTTAATCATATATACTTACATATGTATTTAACTAATTTACGTAATTTTAACCCAATATTTCAAAATTAATAACATATGTATTGCCAATATTATATTTAATAATATACTTTCATATATATGTATTTAACTAATTTACATATTTAACTAATTTACGTAATTTTAATTAATTAAATACAACTTAATTAACCCAATATATGTTTAAATTACACCTACGTTTAACGTAACTAAATTTAAGTAATTTATTTCGTTAATTAATTAAGTATTAATTTAACTAATGTAGTAGCTAAAATGAACCAACTAATTCATACAAAAAATACGTAATTCAACTCACATACCTTATCTGCATAAACAGGAAAAATGATATGAGATGGGTAGATTACATCCTTCAATTCTATCTGGAATTCTATCTGGAGTAGATGGTGTGATTTTGTTGAATGAAGCGGAGGCTGAATATATAAAACTTATAGTCACGGACGTAGTCACGGATGTGTCCGTGACTACACATTTTTGGTACGATTTGTCAGAGCACTTTAATTTGGAACGTTGAAAAAATCAATTTTGCACTTGTCACGGAATTAGTCACGGATACGTCCGTGACTAACTGTAGTCGCGGCCCTAGTCACGGAACCATCCGTGACTAATTTCAAATTTAAAAAAATCCCGCCGGAGGCGAATTTGGGTTGGCCGGAACACTTTAGTCACGGACTACATCTGTGACTAACAATAGTCACGGACGTAGTCACGGCCAAATCCGTGACTATTTTTTTTTAAACGTTCCGTGACTAAACCGTGATTAGAACCGTGACTAACTAGTCACGAACCAAATCCGTGACTACGGTCTGTGACTACAAGCGAATTTTTTTGTAGTGTAAAATTAAAACTAATATTGAGATGTTTATTCAAAAGTGCAAACTAAAAATTAAAGTTAAAGTCGCATGGAATTGAACCTATGACTCGAAAGATCTAACATGGTTTTAAGCAAGGCTAAACTCCAACTCTTCTATAGTAGCTTTTATATCATTTCTGCTCTTTAGTATATGTACTTATATACAAAATAATCACTTTTGTGTGTATATAAATCATATTTTAAAAACATATATATATATATATATATATATATATATATATATATATATATATATATATATATATATATATATATAGGATTGGTGGGGTTGAGAGGGGACAGCTGCCCCCACTACCCCACACTACATACGCCACTGCACATAAGAGAATTTTTTTAAGGTAAGACATCATTGGCGTTTACACGTTTTGTATACCTAAATAAATGACACCAAAAAATATCTTCACTTTCAAAAGTTCTATAAAGTATAAACTCAAAAGAGAGGATGCTATGAAGGATCAAATGAGAATACCATCTTAGGAGAGAAATGAGAATGATTCTGGAGCATTGGATTTGAGCATTGTGCATCATGTAAAACAGAAACGTGCATATAAAAAAATTCGAAAATGTGCATTTCGTCTGTGTAAAATTTTAAACGTAAATGTGCACATTAGAATTTTGCATTACTTTAACTATAAATGTGCAGTTTTGTGAAGGATAAAGTGCATCGTTTTGGAGTGTTCTCATTTCTCACGTTAATGAGTGTTCTCACCGGAACCACACCCTATATATATATATATATATATATATATATATATATATATATATATATATATATATATATATATATATATATAATAACAATACACCATTTTACTGTTCAATGAGTTTGTATTTCATGTATTCATACGTACACTTGTGGATGAATATATATACATGACAGGAGCTAAAGGATAAGAACTCCTAATAACTAACTAGGAACGTACATGCTGATCCTAAGGAGCATGAGATGATAAGTACAAAGACAGTACATGATAAGTACAAATAATAATGTACACGTAATAATATAATAATAATAACGTGACTATATTTTATGATCCAATACGTCCCCGCAAGATGGAGGTTCTGTTGGAAACTCCCAGCTTGGACCTGAATTTATGGAACATGTCTTTTCCCAAGGGTTTGGTCAAAACATCGGCAATTTGCAGCTTGGTAGATATATGGCAGACTTTGAGCTGTCCTTGCTCCACTAAATCACGAACAAAGTAAAAATCAAGTGCTAGGTGTTTCATACGTGAGTGAAAAACTGGATTGACACAGACATATGTGGCACCTTGATTATCACAAAAAAGTGTAAGAGTGGATTTAAGAGATATGCCCAGTTCACAAAGAATATTACGAACCCAAAGGATTTCGCACTCGCATTTGCCACAGCTCTATATTCAGCCTCGGTAGAAGACCTTGAGACACACTTTTGCTTGGCTGATTTCCATGAAATGACGTTGGAACCCAAGTAAATGGCATAAGCAGTTGTTGAACGACCCTCGTCACAAATATTTCCCCAGCTGGAGTCAGAAAACGCAGAAAGATGCAAGGGAGTGGAGCGATGCAGAAAGAGACCATAATGTATAGTCCCTTTTAAATATCTGAGAATGCGTTTTACAGCCTGCCAGTGAAGTTCAGATGGGCTATGCATGTATTGAGACAAGCGATTTACTGCAAAAGCAATGTCCGGTCTAGTGAACGCTAGATATTGTAACAGGCCAAGTGTTCGGCGATACCTAGTAGAATCGGTAGGGGGAGAGCCATCCGCCAGTTGAATAGGAAGAGAAGAGCTCATTGGAGTGACTGACTCCTTTGCTCCTGTCATGGCACAACTCTCAAGAATATTCTGAATGTATTGCCGTTGAGATAAAAATAAGCCCTCTTTTGTAGGAATTACCTCAATACCGAGAAAATGATGTAAGGCCCCTAAATCTTTAACAGAAAATTTGGACGTAAGCTGTTGAACAAATCAATTGATAGCTGCTGGTGAGTTCCCTGTTAAGACGATATCGTCAACATAAACAAGGAAATATAATATGGTGCCGGAGTGGGAGTAGATAAACAAAGAATTATCGGCCCGAGATTTATGGAAGCCCATAGCAATAAGAAACCGAGATAATTCGAGGTACCATGCACGTGGGGCTTGCTTTAAGCCATATAACGCCTTACGGAGGCGGCACGCATGTGTCGGGTGTTCAGCATCAATGTATCCCGAGGGCTGAGTCATATACACTTCTTCAGAAAGTGTGCCATGAAGAAAAGCGTTGTTCACGTCAAGTTGACGAAGCTCCCAATTACGCGCAAGTGCAATAGTGAGTACTATGCGAACAGTTGCAGGTTTAGTAACTGGACTGAATGTTTCATTGTAATCCCGACCCGGTTGTTGTAAGCACTGAATGTTTCAATGGTACCATCAGCTTTTCGTTTGATCCGAAAAAGCCATTTGCATGAGATGGGAGTGTGAGAACCACGAGGAACTAGGTCCCAAGTTTTATTGCGTTGTAAAGCAAGAAATTCATCATCCATCGCTGCTTTCCACTTGGGGTCCTGAAGGGCCAGTTTGACCGTGGCAGGGGTAAGACTCGGGGTGAGAGGGTGTGAGGTGGTTGTATTAATAAACGGTTCCCCAAAATACTTGGAATTGGGTTTACGATTTCTGGTAGGTCGGGAGGGATTATTGGGTGGTGTGGGCAGGTAGGAATTAATGGGAGGTGTGGGCATGGATGAATTATTATGGGAGTTGGGTGGTGATGGATTAAGATTAAGGTCAGGTGGGTTTATTTGAGGGGGAGTGGGATGGGTGGATGCCACGTGGAGGGGAGGTGGATAATTATGGTGAGTAGGTGGAGATGAGTCGGTTGGGGGAGGGGAATTATTATTATGGCCTGAATTTGCGGATGAGTGGGTGTTGACCAGCGAATGCGTAGGTTCGGGAGTTAGGTGATGCGGAACGGCTAAAGATGGGGTGAGCTGACTAGTGAGGATAAGTTTGACTGGAGACCGAGTGCCGGGGGATTAAATGATGCGCAGGAAGAGAATGATTGCTTTGACATGTTTCTTGCACCGAAGATAACAAGGACGTGGAACGAAATGGAAAAGTGGTAGGCACAAAACGAACGTGACGGGAAACATAAAGGCGACTCATACTGTAATCATAACACAGATAGGCCGATTGAGATAAAGAGTAACCCAGGAATACACATGCAGCAGATCGTAATTGAGTTTTGGAAGAGTTATAGGGACGGAGCCACGGAAAGCATAGGCAACCGAAAGGTTGTAATTTTTTATAGTTAGGGTGACATTGATGTAGGCGATAGAACGGAGAATCATTTTGTAACGTGGGGGTGGGAAGACGATTTATTAGGTAGACAGCAGTCTGAAACGCATAAGTCCAATATTTTTTAGGTAGACCAGAATAATGAAGTAGGGAGAGTCCGGTGTCAACAATATGACGATGACGGCGCTCAACTATACCATTATGTTCGGGGGTATGGGGTGGTGTGGTGAAGTGTGATATACCCTGGGCATTAAGGTAAGATTTAAGTTTAATATATTCACCTCCATTATCCTCTAAAAATAGAATATATTTAGAGGATAAATCCAAATATATCTAGTATAACAGTCAACAAAAATAACATAATATTTGTGACCATCAATAGATATATCAGTTGGCCCCCATACATCCGTGTACAATAGTTCTAATGGACGAGTAGCATGCATGGATGTAGTAGAGAAAGGTAATTTTGAACTTTTATTGAGATAGCAGGAAGTACATTTGGAATCGTTAGAAACATTGCACGGCAATAGGTGCTTATTTTGATTAATTAAAGTAGAGAAAACACGACTTGATGGATGACCAAATGTATGATGCCAAGGTGATGAAACTGAGACTTGTGTGACATGAGCTTGAGGTGAACAAGAAACTGGTGCATAGTAAACGTCATTAATGTTCTCCCCGCGCATTATTGGAACCCCTGTGGCTCGATCCTTAACAATAAAATGAGATGAGAAAAATTCAACAGAGACATGGTTAGATTGACATAATTTGGAAACAGAAATTAAATTTTTACGGAGTTGGGGAACACATAAAATATTAGTGAGGGAGAGAGATCGGGTGGAGGTGGGCAAGGATGTATGGCCAGTATGGGTAATAGGTAGAGTCTTACCATTGCCAAGATGAACTTCCTCAGGACCGCCATAATCTGTGTAGGATGGTAAATTTGCAGCATTTGTTGTCACGTGATGAGAGGCACCACTATCAAAGAGCCAGGGTTGTTCCATGGATTGGGGGTTCGTGACTGTATGATTTACAGCCGGAGGTGCCGGATGTGGCACATAATGTTCCTTTAAAAATCGTTGGAGCTTACGACACTGGCGAACCTCGTGGCCGAGATTTTCACAAAAACGGCAAACAAGGGGGTTGCCTTGTTGACGAGAAGAGTTGCCGTGATAAGTGCCACGCCCCCGACGAGACGTGAATGAACTACGGTCTCCTCCAGGTGAAGTGCGACGATCATTGTTCTGGAAATGGCGATCAACAGCTTGGGTTGCATTAGCCGTGGGGATCACATTGGTCATGGCAGGATCCATGCTTGCTTGGAGACGTTCTTCTCGTTCCAGGAGAATATCCTGAAGTTCGGCCAGTGGTAAGGGAGTGGTGCGAACCCGAATGGCAGATGTGAGGTCACTATATTCAGTGCCAAGCCCGTTGAGTATGTTGATGACGAGGTCTTCCTCAGATAGTGGATTTTGAGCTAGAGCTAGGGCTTCAGAGAGGGCATACATTTCGGTAAGGTAGGCTTGGATAGTTTTAGAGCCTTTTGTGGTACGGGCAATTGTGGACTTGAGAGAAATGATTCGTCCACGAGAAGTACTGGCATATGTGAGAGAGAGTTTTTCCCAGGCGTGACGAGCAGATGTGGCCGAGGAGATGACATGCTGGATAGTGTCGGAGCAGCTTCTGAGTAAGGCACTGAGAATGGTTTTGTCTTGACGAAACCATGTCGTATAACATGGGTTGATTTGGGTTTTGGCATCATCAATGAATTGTTCTGGGATTTGAAAAGTTCCATCAACGTATGCATCGAGACCAAGGCCGACAAGGGCAGAGTGAACTTGACATTTCCACACCGGAAAATTAGATGTGGTGAGTTTTATGGGGAAGTGTGTAGTGGCGGTGATAGACACCACGGTGGTGGTTGGGGTGATGATCATATTGATAAGTTAGGGGAAAAAATGCTCTTTAGAGATTGGCTCTTGATACCATGTAGAATAGTAAATGAGTTTGTATTTCATGTATTCATACGTACACTTGTGGATGAATATATATACATGACAGGAGCTAAAGGATAAGAACTCCTAATAACTAACTAGGAACGTACATGCTGATCCTAAGGAGCATGGGATGATAAGTACAAAGACAGTACATGATAAGTACAAATAATAATGTACACGTAATAATATAATAATAATAACGTGACTATATTTTATGATCCAATATATATATATATATATATATATATCATTTTACTGTTCAATGAACGGTAATCCCGCTTAGGCATAAGGTCCATCTCAACCATCCCCTCAGAAAGATCTTGGTCGTCTCTTTTTTCATCTTTCACATATCAAGCCTTCATGTATCAAGCCTTCTTCTCGATCGTCCGCTCAGAAACATAATTTCAATTCACCGAGAATGTTTTCACCATCCAAGAACGCCGCCCTCCTTCGTGTATCAAGCCTCATGGTCTCACCGAAGGCGTCTCACATCAACACCGTATGCGGCATGGGCTTAGATCGAGTGAACCTGGTCGGTTCTACCAGGTTTTCTCTCGCACCATCCAATTTTTTGCGGCTATCTTCTCTTCGATTTCTCTCCACCATCCAAGAACGTCGCCCTTCTTGTATCAAGCCTCATGGTATTGCCGATTTTTCTCCACTGGTGTTCGCATCCTTCATTCTCGGTGAGTATGAAATCAAAATACTGATTGAAATTACTGATTGCAATAACGTTGAATTACTCAGAAACAGTGTACTCAGAAATTATGACTTGATTAAATCTTGATTTCGGTTTGAAATTACGGAGTACTAATTAACAAATGATGTATTTACTTGAGGCCCTGGCTCTATTATTGATGACTTGAACAGTCTATTGATTCTTCAATACCAGAGCATCATTTCTATTTTATACTTCCACTAGAGAGTGTTTTCTTCTTGCACACAAACTGTTTGTTTAATTATCTGAGTGAGATTATTGCTCCTGCATTTTTTAGTTTAGAAACATCATGGCCATGTTCTTTATTACTTCCTTATATCAGCAAATATGAGGTAAAATGATTAGCTTCACGATTGCCCCATCCCATGACAAATCATGTCTTCCCCATCGCCTCTTCTGCAATTCTTCTCTCATTCACCTTATCAGTCCATTAATGGTGTACTTTTTTGTCGAAACGGCAGGGGCTATTGCAATCATGTAACTCGAGAGTCAAGAGCCACCGGATCATGTATAGAGCATGTCACAAGAAGGTTTGATGTGCAAGTTTAAAGGCTTTTACGTAATATTCATTGTCTGTTTGTATGGAAGCTCCATACAAATTGTAATAATTCATTTGTTTGAATTTGTGTTTTCATATTCTAGATGCACTATAAAACGGATTAGAACGAAGAATTTATGTAGAATGCATATGTATCTATTAAGAATTCATTAAAAGAAGAACACATATGAGGGTAATTTCTAATCCTATGGTAAATAAAGAAGTCTCTATTTTCCAATCTGCCATTTCCGAGATTTTTTTTTGCATTTAGGAGCTACTGAAATTAGTTATGAGGAGTTGATAATATCTGTGATAACCAAAGATTTACATCATACCTTTATTTGCACTTTCAGTTTGTGTTCTTATATTTTGCATATCTCATGTTTGATGAAATGCAAAGGTAAAATTCTCTTCGTTTTTTAGTGCAGCTATATGATGGTATGGTCAAATCCAGTTTGCTAGCTTGAAATATGATTATGGCTTATCCTAAAGTAATCAAACTTTATGCTCTTGACACTAAACTTTATGATTCTTTTTAGTATGCCTTCTCCATTCTCCATCATCTTCCTCCATTTTTCCCTCTTTATCTGGACCAATTTCAGCAATGATGCGTATCTCAATGGGGTGCATAACTTTTGGAACCAGCTTATGCCATCCTTAGGTCCTTATAGCAGCCCCAAGATAATTGATAAAACCTTTTACTTGGTGAATAATCTGATTTTTGTCAAACTTGGAACTCTTAAATTAAATTTAGCCTCACTCTTTATCTTTGAAATAGCCCAAAGGATGAGAGTTGGTATGTCTTGGATTTTTATATCTTCAATACAATGGATCCACCTGTTCACACACCATACCTATAGAGAGATCATGTGCTTCTTACGACTTTGTTCTATCGATCATAGATTTTTTACATTGTTACTGGATCATTTCTAATCTAAGAAGTTTGGTTATCTTAACATTCTCTATTATTGGAAGTCTCTAACAGACAATATTTTTTCTGCTTTCATTTCAACTATTACTCTTTAGGCTGAGAAGAGTCAACTTAGGAATTGCATTAAGGGTTGGGTGTGTATTTATTATTGATATGTGTGCCTTGCATATACAGACACAACATATACACTGCCTGAAGAAGCAAGGTATTCCAGGAGGCAATGTTGCTCTCCTGTAAGCATGTCTCCACACTGACAAAGGTTGGCGCAGGTGAGATAACTTTGACTAAAATATTTTTCCTTTTTCATTTTTTCACTGGTGTCTAACATTGCACTCTAAACTACAACCAAGTCATATTGTTTCCAGTTGATAGGCAGACCTCTCAAAATTAAAGTATCACGACCTTTAATAAACATTGGTTATTTTCTTAACTGAACTCAAATATTTTATTTAATGAATTGTTCTCATGCGTTTATAACTTAATAGTAATATTTTGGCTATATCCCGCATATGTATAACATATATATCATCACATTTGCTCGCAGGTGCCATCCCCTCTTCTCCTATATATTTCAAATTTGAGGAGCCTCAACATAAACATACAAATTAAAAATTTGTTTCACTGACACATGAAAAATGTAAAACTTAATTAAATATTTAATCAACATAGCTCTTAGAATAGATAATTTGAATAATAATGTTGTTATTTATAGTCGCACCCCACAAGAGAGATTATACTTCTACATTTCCATACCCACTCAATGGTGACTTTTTCTAATAAAAAAGGTTGACCATTTTTATCTGAATTAAGATAACGTTATCTTAATTATCTTATTTCAAGTTTCAGGCTATACAAAAAGGGTAGACCTCAAAAGTATCACTGCCCTTATAAAACATTGGTTATTTTCTTAACTGAACTCAAATATTTTATTTAATTAATTGTTCTCATGTGTTTAAAACTTAATAGTAACATATTGGCTATATCCTGCATACGTATACATATAAATCATCGCATTTGCTCACAAGCTATACAAAGATATAAAGAAAGGTTAACTTAGTCATCTTATTTATCATTCAAAAACAAGTGATGTAGAAAATTTGGAATAAATTACCAAATTACGGGAATCTCCCGTCTGACAAGCCAAAATACGGGAGTTCCGTTTAGGTTACCAAATTACGGTAGTCGGAATTGGCAATTCCGACTGGTGGAGAAGTCCCGAATTAGGGTTGAAACCCTAGTCGGAATTGGGCAATCCGACTAGAGGTAAGTGCCAATTTAATTAAAAAAATCTAGTCGGAATTGGGGAATCCGACTAGGGTATTTTTGATTTTTTTTTAAAACAATGGGTTAAAGCGGATAAAATTTATTAAAAACCTAGTCGGAATTGGGAAATCCGACTAGGGTATTTTGATATATTTTTTAAAAAATGACGTGTTTAATTGTGGTTCGAACATTTTACCAACCGACTCGTATATTTGGGAGTTTTTTACCAAAAAGCGGGGCTTTTGGTTCTAAATTAATTAATACTCGGTCGGAATTTGGAAATCTGACCAGGAGTTTTGTTTTAATTTTATTGTTTGCACTACGTGTTTTATTTGTATTCCTTTATTCTACCAACTGGATTTATATGGTCACCGTACCCCAATAGCTCCTATAAAATGAGTTCATTTCTTTTCAAAATTTTCACTCCAAAAAATAATCCTTCTTTCTCTCTTGATATATTTATTACATTTTCTGTTTAGGCATTCTCCTCTCATATAAAAATGTCTAGTGAGGGAAATATTGTTGTTATGGTTCATTGGAATGGCTCTACATCTCAAAAAGATGATGAAATAGAGTACTCCATACCTCCTAGGGCGGTACTATTCATTAGTGAAACAGATGATTATACTACTATACATGAGAATGTTCTAAATCATGTTAGAGGCGACGGATTTTCCGAAATTAAATTAATTTACGGAAAATTGCCAAAATATAAGAATTCTGTATATGTTGCTTCTAGACTATGGCCCATTCACGATGAGCAGACATGGCGTCATTTTTTCCGGATCGCTGAAAATGAGTATGAGGAGTTGCACATTTACGTGGAAGCTTCAGCGACCCCACCACAAACTTTGACGTTCCACGGAACTCCCAGAGAGGAAGGCACATCATCTGTATATGGTCGGAGGAACAACAGCCAAACGTTTCAGAACTACGAATCTCCTGGTATGTGTTGTTCAAGTTAAATAGAATTTACAATGATTTGGTTTTATTTGTTGTCATTTTAAGAGTGTAGAAGTAGTTAATTTAGTAATTTGTAAATTTTTTAATTTAGATTGTTAAATAGGAATTTCAGAGTAAAAATTGGCTATCTGTCCGTCACATCTGCACAAATTCAATACTTCTACCTAATTACACAAGAAACACATTCTAGTTCAAATAAATGAAATAACCGGAAGTGGAAGTGGAATTTTAAAAAATTTTAAAATTTTATCTCCTGTCGGAACACCCAAATCCGACCAGAGCACAAAAAGTTTTTATTATTCAAATCAACTTAAAATTTTTATATATCGCATAAAATTTCAAATCTCCTGTCGGAACACCCAAATCCGACCAGAGCACAAAAAGATTTTATACTTCAAATAAACTTAAAAATTTTATATATTCGGATAAATTAAAACCAAAAAATTCAAACCTTAATTTTATTTTATTTTAGATAGTGTGTTACAAGGAATTGTGTTCAATTCTAGAAATTCAAGAATTGTGTTAAATTAATAATTTGTCCCAAATAATAATATTGAAATTTATGAATGTATCTACTTTGTACCGTCACAAACTTGGGTGAAGAGTCGGACGACCCAGACTATGAACAAGGTTTTAGTAGTGATGTCGGTTCATCCACGAGCGATGATAGTGACGACGTAGTAGACACCACTTGGGCTAATGTGGAGCTAGAAGAACCATTTGTTCAAGCAGTAGATTCTGAGCCTGAAAGGATCGAAGTAGGCGCAGTTTACTGTTCATATGATGCACTGAAAGAAGCGGTGGCGAGAGAAAACATTCGTCAATTTCGTCAATTCAGAACGGTTGACAAAAGGCCACGGTCCTGGAAGGCGGTTTGCATAGACCCGACCCTTTGCACTTGGCATATCCAAGCAGGAGAAGGTATGACGTCAAAAAAGAGGAAAGTAAAAAAATATCAACCCCATCACAGTTGTAGGGAGGATCCTGTCATGGCTCGGGATGACAGGCTCCTAACGGCCAAAATTATAGCCAGTGAAATCGCTCCAAAAGTGAAAGTCGACCCGGACTACAACATTAAACTGATAATGTCAGACATATATGAAAAATTTAATATCCGTGTTTCATATAAAAAAGCTTGGAATGGACGCTTGATCGCTCTGGAGCGTAAATTCGGCAATTGGGAGGCATCATATAATGAACTTCCTATGTTGTTGGAAGCTATACAGTTTTCAAATCCGGGGATTGTTGTTCATTTGCAATCACAACAGGCCGGCACTCCTGATACGTCTGAATTCCGCCGAGTGTTCTGGTCATTCAAGGCTTCTATAGACGGTTTTAGATTTTGCTTACCCGTAGTCTCGGTTGATGGCACTCACTTATATGGCAAATACAAGGTAGTTCTTCTAGTTGCGGTAGCCATGAATGCTAACCGTGAGATATTTCTTCTTGCATATGCTGTTGTTGAGAGTGAGAATGCTGACAGCTGGTCGTGGTTCTTTGCAAGGGTTATGCGTGATGTGGTTGGAAATTACCGTAGTGTGTGCATTATCTCTGATCATCATGCAGGAATTGAAAGTGCATTTAGAGCCTTGCGAGAGTTGAGATCGCCACAAGTTTCAAAGCGTTATTGCCTCCGTCACATACGGAGTAATTTCATGACCAAGAAATTTTTTGAGAATCTTCTTCATTAAGTCTAGTTTAGTCATACCAAATTTCAGATAAAAAATTCAATCGAGAAGGCAGTCAAATGAATTTTTGAAGATAACTGCGCAGTTAGGCAGCACAGTATATTTCAGAAAATCATTTGACTGCCTTATCGATTGAATTTTTAGCTGAAATTTATTATGCGTAAATTAGACTGAATGAAGAAGATGCTCAAAAAATTTCATCAAAATCTTCCACCGAAAACCGACCAAATGGCGGCAGACGGACAAAGCCTCCTGTAAAAGAACTTATTTGCAATTTTTATGAAAGTTCAAGGGCTTATTTGATAGTTCTCCCTAAAATAATTGAAAAGACAAAAGTTATTGTTTAAATTTGAGTATAATAAAATGAAATGTTATAGACCACATATTTGGAGGATCCATCTCATAAGCTACTTTGTTTCGGAGAAACATCACATTTTCCACTGCAAGCTTTGGGAGCTCCAATGATTCCTTTTGAGTTGCTTGACTGCCATTCAAAGGTTATAATTCTTTTTCTGGGTTAATGCATCTATTCTAGCTTTTATAAACAATTTATGGTTTATTGTTTAACAAATACTCTGTATAAAGTAAAATACAATTTCCTTTTTGTTGTTGTGGTGAAGAATTTCCTAATCCTAATTGAATATGAAATAATCAAAAAACAGAGTAATCCATACTTGAAATTAAATCCGCAAAAATTACTCTTTGTCACTCCAATTGTATATAGAATAGAAATTGCCCAATATAGGAGTAAACATAAACATAATTGCATAAATAGGAGTATAACTTAAAAATTCCTTCAATAGGAGTAAACATTAATTTTGTACCCTTAATATCCCTAACCTAGTTAATTCTAAAATAGGACTTATTTAATCCTAACCTAGTTAATTTATGACTTATTCGATAATAATAATTTATTTATTTATTTATTTATTTATTTTTCAAAAAAAAAAAAAAAAAAACTCAAAAAATTAAAATAAAATTCACCGCCGCCTTTGCCGCCTCTGCACCACCACCTCCAGTCACCAGGGGAAAAAATGTCAAGTTCATTACGAATGCTATATTTATGGCAGAAAATAATGAAAATGTTGGCATTCACAAAGAGAAATATGCCATGTTTTTGGCATTTTCAGAAAAAAATGGCAGTTTTTAGGAAAAATGGAATTTTTTTCACCACCCGGAGGTGGTGGTGCAGGAAGGTAGTACAGGCGGTGTGAAAGACATCCATATTTTTTTTAATTTTTTATGGAGTTTTACTATTTTTTATTAATTTAAAAAAAACTAATTTTTTTTTAATTTTTTATTTTATTAATATTTTATAAAATTTTTAATTATTTTTCTACGAATTTTTGATTTTTTTCGAATTTATTATGAATTAAATATTTAATTAAAAGTTGTTGGGGCTTAGACTTGGGTAGGGGTATACTTGTCCAAACACTAAAGTTACTCCTATTCAAAACATGGTACTCCTATTTTTGCATTTTGCCTATGTTTTACTCCTATTTGGGGAATTCTCTCTATATAGAAAAACAAAACTCCATATGTACTTATATTTAATCACAAATCCTTTTTAAAATGCATAAGATTTAAAATATGATCTAAGGTACGTAAAGACAAGCAAAACAATAAGCACAAAGAAAATGTAATGATTTCCGCTGTTATTTATTTGTTTGCTTACCCATGCAAGCCCCAGGCATCTAAGTTCTTTGTCAGGAATCACTATAACTTGGTCAAGGAATTACGACTGGCATGGATGGGTTAGATTGTTCTTTACATAGCTTACTCAGTGCTAATATGGTTCCAACTACATTTTTTGATAATGATGATGCTTCCATTTTGCAATTATAGAGAGACGTGGAGGAAACTAGAACATTCTTTCCCACCAGTAATCCGATGCTCATCCATTTCGATGAAATATACCCATTGATCAGAGGTGGAGTTGTGACTATAGAGAAGGAGGAGCATTCAACTGATTCATATCGAGGAATGAAGCATTTTCGTTCACGTGAAAGTGAGATCGAAGAAGAAAAAGGAGAGGGAAGGAGTAGGAAACAGAGTGCAGCTTATAAGGATGAGGATGATTTATCAGAGATGTTTGATAAGGTTTTGTTGTGTGCTGATAATTCTCCATCCGGAGGAAAACAACAACAGAAAGGGCGAAGTGGTCGCAAAGGCCGTGCAGATAAACGCGGATATGAATTTGAATTTGTGAATGTAGAGTCTCTTTTGCTCAGCTGCGCAAAATCAATTGCTGCTGCAGATTACAAGGTGGCAGTAGAACAACTAAAGACGATCAGGCAGTACTCTTCCCCTATCGGTGATCCAAACCAAAGGTTGGCACATGCATTTGTTGACAGTCTTGAGGCCCGTCTAGTTGGAACTGAGGCTGAACAGTATCCTTCATCATCATTTCACAATAAGATGGTTGTTCCCGAAATGCAGAAATCCCACATTTCATCATATGTGCCATTTATGAGGATGTCAATCTTCTTCGCTAATAGAATGATTTACGAAGCAGCGTCAAGCGGAGCATCACTACATGTTATAGATTTTGGTATTCTTCATGGTATTCAGTGGCCTACTCTTATTCGAGATCTTTCGCAAAGACCTGGTGGCCCTCCAAAGCTTCGAATAACTGGGATTGAGCTTCCCCAACCCGGTTTTCGTCCATCACAAATGGTATTGGAGACTGGTTGTCGTTTGGCTAAATACTGTCATCGCTTTGGAGTACCATTTGAATACAATTCCGTAACATCAAAGAATTGGGAGGCTATTAAGATAGATGATTTGAAGCTTGCGAGGGGTGAGGTGGTTGTTGTTAACTGTACTCTTCGACTCAAACGCTTACTAGACGAGACAGTGTGTGGTGCGGACTGCCCAAGGGATGGTGTTTTAAACTTAATCCGGGAAGTCAACCCCCACATCTTTGTAAATTCTGTTGTCAGTGCAACTTATGGTTCTCCTTTCTTTGTTAATAGGGTCCGGTCGGCTCTCTCCTTCTTCTCTGCTGGCTTTGATATACTTGAGACTCTTTTCCCACGCCGCAATAGTGAAAGGTTAAATTTTGAACTAGCAGTTCTGGGGCCTGTCATAGCAAATATTGTAGCATGCGAGGGCATGGAAAGGTTAGAGAGACCTGAAACATACATCCAGTGGCAAAGTCGCATTACGAGGGCCGGGTTCAAGCCTGTGGTCCTAAATCCTCAAACTGTCAAAAATATAAGAGACATGGCGAGGGAAGGATGTCACAAAGACTTTCTGTTTGCTGAAGATGGTCATTGGTTTCTGCAGGGGTGGAAAGGTCAGATTTTGTTCGGCAGCTCCGCGTGGGCCACTCACAACCAAAATATCCTTTAGAAGATCTAATAAAAGATGTCAATTGTCAAATACATGGCATAAGATTGTCAAGATGACTTATGCAATTACCATATTTGCACAATGTTATAGCTGCTCTGTCAAGGTCTTGGGATATTCCAAGTAAACACTAATAGATCCTACTAATAAGAAAATTAAAGTCGTCTTTAAGAAAAGATATGAATTATTTATGCTGCCTCTTTCTTACAAAATAATCTTTCACCTCATTATCCACTCAAAAAACATCTGATTTGATATCTGAGATCTTAATGTCTTTTGCGTGTCTCTCTTGTATTACAACAATAAAGCATATCTTGCAGAAGTAACAATAGAACACTCCAAGTTAACGAACAAAAAAGCTGGAAACATCAAAGAACAAAAGCATGCGAAAATTAAAACTTTCTTAATAATCTAAGATACAATTTTTTTTCTTATGGCTTTGCAATACCAGCTTGATTATGTGTGCCCTGCGAGTATATGAAGGGACAATAATTTACGTGAAGAATAAATGCAGTAAAAATAATTAAAACAAACAAAAAGCATGCATGACACTCATACATCATTGGTGTGCTTGATAATTAGGTGCTTCTTAAGGAAGTGTTCGCGTAGCGCACCATAACCCCTGCTTTCATCTTTCAGGAACTTTTTCAGCTTTCCAATCATCACAAATACAACCACAAAAAGTTGTACGGAGTATATATCTGACAAAAATTGACAAAAAGTTGTACGGAGTATATATCTGAGAAAATTTGGTATGGATGAACTAGACTTTATGAAGAAAATACACAAAAAATTTCATCAAAACATACCACCGGGAACCACCTCAAATTGAGGTGGCCGGACCACCCTTTAGTCATGAAGTCCTGACCGGAACCCCCCGCGGACAACACCATCAGAGGGTGTTTCCGGTGGAATTTTTTGAGCATGTTCCTCATCAAGTCTAGTTTTTGCATACCAAAGTTCAGCTCAAAATTCAATCGGGAAGACAGTTAAACAATTTTTTGAAACATACTGCGTTTTATATATGTACAAAATGGGCCGTAAGAGAAGAGCCCCACTTGGAGTGGCGGCTTTTGTACTGTAAGAGAAGAGCTGCCTTTTGATAAATGTGTTAATTAGTAGCTTGTGTTTGGAAAACTGTAGTCACGGATTAGTCACGAACGCGGTCCGTGACTAATTCTTGACCGGAATTGCTACTCCGGCATGTTAGTCACGTACACGGTCTGTGACTACGTTTAATTTTAAAAAAAAATCTTAGTCACGGACATGTCCGTGACTACGTGTATTTTTTTTTTAAATTCGGGCATATTAGTCACGGACCGATCCGTGACTAAGTTTTAAAATTTTCAAATTTTCAAAAGCCCGCGGTTTAAATTTTCAAAATTTTGAATTAGTCACGGACATGTATCCGTGACTATTAATTTTTATAAAAAATATTGAATTTAGAAAATAGTTCCGGACAAAAAAAATAGTCACGGATTTAGTCCGTGACAAAAAATTTTGAATTTAGAAAAGAGCTCTGTACTTAAGGACTCACTTATGGCCTTATAATTGTGACTCGGTGAGGTATTTGTCCAGAGGGAACAAGACGCTTGAGCTGTATATGCTAGAAGTCTTTACTCTAATGTTTAACTTCAACATTGCCTTTTGGTTCATATTCTATCGACCATTCATTAAGAGAGTTATTAGTTGATTGAATTTGTTGCATTGGTCAAGAGTCTGTTAACCTTGCCTCAACCGTTGTTCCACGTAGCCCGCCATATTCGGGATCTGCTGAATAGCAGTCCTGATTTTAAAACATACAGCAATGCATATGTTTGGTCAAGCACTCTTTATAGGAGTGAATTTTAATCACTAATTAGATGTCCCTTATTACAAAAAGAATAAAGGCATTTCTGTTAGTGCATTAGCAGCTACAAACCAACACACCAATCTCTCATACAACAGCTTTGCACTTTCTCATCCAAGTGCACAAGACAAGTTAATAACTTCACCCTTTCATCACTCACGGCAGCTACAAACTAATTGATTGAAGGCATTTTTACAAGGCAACAAAAGTTCAAAATTAGAAAGGCTCTTCTTATCCATTTTAGGAGGTGTTTGGACCTGATTCTTAAAAATGATTCTGCTCTTTGAGGAAGTAGAAGCAGAAGTTGAAGTGTTTAGGTGAAATGAAAGTGCAGAAGTACTTCTGATGCTCTAATTTACTCCTAGAATCAGTTTTTTTAGAAGCTGGAGGAGACGAGCTTCTGAAAACTGATTCTGATTCTGCTTCTGCTTTAGAAAAGAAACGGAAGCAGAAGCAGTTTCAAACACCCCTTAGTATGTGTTGAGGTTTATTCCCCTCAACCCGCAGGCCCAACACGTACCTGGGGTTTCGAATGGGTGGAAAGCAAATGAATTTACTAAAACAACGGGGATGGATTAAGTGACTGTTTCCTTCAATATAATGACTACAAGCCGAAGGGCCGAACGTACTGAAAATAAGCTACGTACTGTTGACGCTATTACAACTCTAGAGTAACGATGTCTGAACCCCTTTCAATGAAATAAATGCGGCTATTTATAGTACATCCTGGTAGTTGGGGGGCTGACGTGGCCGGCTGTGGGCGACATGATTCCAACCACCAAATCTTCAGCATTAAATGCGCTTTCCACCAAAATCTTGGTTTCCCGTCATAATGCGGGGGACGTCCGTCCCCTAAAGTGAACCCAACTCTTTGATGGCAACCTGGGCCTTCAAGTATAGCCTACGAGACGTCCATCCCCAGATCCTTGGACCCTGGGCCTGGCTATGCTGGGCTACGTACGTCCCCTGGCCCTTGGACCTTGAGGCCTGGTTGTGGTGGGCCACGTACGTCCCTTGGCCCTTGGGCTTCAGGGGTTGATGGGTCGGCCCTGAAAGGCCATTAACCCAACACAAGTCCCCCACTTCTGATGTTCCGAGCTTGCGCGGGACATGAAGAAGTAAGATAACTTCCGTCGTACCGTTATGCGCCGTTGCTCCTTTTTCTCTGGGTGACGGTTATTTTTTGCCGTACCGCCCTGAGCCGTTGCTTCCTTTTCCCTAGGTGACGGTTGCTTTCCGCCGTTGTTTGCGGGGCTCTAGGTGCCAACTATCAGGCCGGTTCAACTTCCCATAAAAGGTAATCATTTCATATCAGCCCGTCTTTATGCGACACGCGTCCCTGTATACGCTCATTGCCACGTGTCGCCCGTGGTTTGGTTGTTGAGTCGGTGCCTTCCTCTATAAATACGGAAGTCAGGGAAGGGTTAGGGCTTTTCATCTGCTATCTCCTCTTGCCTCCTCTTGCGCCGATAAGCGAGTGATGGAGTATATCTAGAGAGAAGTGAGAGTTAGAGAGAGAAGTGCAATAATATGCTTCAATAGAATGAATTTGTAACCCCTATAACTACTCCCAAGGGGAGTATTTATAGAGAAAATACGGGCTGGGCTCCCAAGCCTTGGGCTTGGGAGGCCCATTTACAATTGGACCGCTACTGGGCCAAATACAAAGCCACTAATGGGCTGTACGAATGAGTGAGTATAAAATCCGGTTCTGTGAGGTCTTCGTGGCCGACGAGGGCGTGGCCGACGAGGGCACGACCGAGGAGGGCACGGCCGACGAGGGCACCCGGGTTCCTTGGCTTCAGGACCATAATCTGAGTTGGCACCTTCTCGGCCGACGGGGGTCCCTCTGCCGACGTGGGCGCCACTCGGTGTCTTGTGCTTTCTGTTCTTCCGAGTATGTGGGTCCGGGGGCTCAGACCCATATACTCCATCAGGAGTCCCCCACTCTCTAAGGTGAGACGTAGACGAAGTGAAGGAGAGTAGATTCTCGTGCTTTGGTGCTTTTGGCCGACGCGGGCATTCCCAGGCCGTTAGCTGTTGCGGCGTTGGCGCTGTTTCCATTCTAGTGATCCTGTTCTGTGCTTGGCCGTTACCTGTTCCTCACTGTGGACGGGAAGGCCGTTGTTTCCTTGGTGCGGTCGTTTGGGGACGATGAGTGTCCTGCTTCAATGGTGGCCGTTGAAGGCGCGCTTTCCTTTTCTTGGACGTTGATGGTTGAAGTTTACATTTGGGCTGATGAGGCCGTTGAGGTTGAATCTTGCTTCGAGGACGATGGTGTCCTTTCCTTTGGGTGGCCGGTGAGGGTGCTTGCGCACTCCTTTTGGCCGTAGCTGACTGGCTTTCGTGTTTCTGGCCGAAGAGCCCATCATGATTAACTGTTGGCGGAGGACGATGAGTGTCCTTGCCTTAGGTGGCCGGTTGGCCGTTGCTGATGACGTTGTGTGCCTTTGGCCGACGAGGCGCAGTGTGATACATGGCCGATGTGGCCATGCTTTGTGGTTACATTGTTCATTGCATTTTCCTTTTTTGTTTTGTTGAGGCCGGTGTAGTCCCCCAGTCCCCCACTGCTTCAGGCCGAAGAGTGTGAGGGGTGAAGGAGTTGCTTGAGTCCCTGGCCGAAGCGGCCTCTCCGTAGTCCCTCTGAATCCAACCCTCATGGCGATTTTCTGGCCAAGGTAACCCTGTGGGAGAACCCTTGTGCGCAGATCGCTTGTAGAGAGTTATCATCAAGGGTCGTTACGGGGAGCCGATGGGCGTTCATGACATTCCTGGCCGTTGTCATCTCCTTATTGTTGGCATTTGTGAACTTGGCAAGCAAATAGGCCATTGTGGGCGCTTGCTGGCACTTGTGAAGCCGGCCAGTGTGTAGGCCGTAGAGTCTGATTCGCCAGTGGGCTCTTGATACGTAGGTTGGGCTTGGCCCGTTGGTGACGTGGTGGCCTCCCATTGGTGGCCGTTGATGTGGCCATTGGGAGGGTGCCACGTGTAGTGACCGTTGGGTGGAGGGTTCTATAAATACCCCTCTCCCTCCGACGAGAAATCTCATTTGCATTCTGAGTTGTCGAAGTGCTGGCCAAATTTCTAGAGAGATAAACTCCCAAGCTCGTTCTTCGTGTTCTTCGTGTTCAAGGTTAGTGTTCATCGCAATCTTCTGTACTTTGCATACTTTGCTTCCTAGGCTAGTGATCTAGTGTTAGGCGCTTGAACACCCTTAGATCCTAAGTTATTCCCCTTAGGCTCGTAGTAGTTGTTATGATGAAGAGCTTGAACGAAGACTACTATCCGTACGACGACCAGCCCTCCACTAGGTCACTCGACTATGAGGTGCTCGAGGAGTTCGAGGAGGAGATAC